TATCCTAAAATAAAAAATATAATTAAATTTTAAAGAATACTAGTGGTTGTCTATTTTTTAAATTTAAGCATAATTATAAAGACACTTTTTTTCTATTGAAAATTGCTTTTTCCACTTCTTTCACTTTCATCTGTTTGTGCAATTTCCTTAAAAAGTGTTACAAAGTTTTTGTTTCACTTCTTAATAATATTATAAATGCGAATTTGGATATCTTAAGGCATTATCTTCAGAATGGATTCATGGAGCTGAAATTTAAGACAGAAGTAGAATATAATCTAAAAGAACATTGCTACTAATAAAATTTCTAATTGGGCACAGACAGAGTCGAGTTTGACAGCTAGTATTTATATAATCATAACATACTTGTAAGAAACAATGACTGTCTCCAGTTACACCACCACATGCACCTGCAACATCTGGATCAACAGATGCTTCAGTTATTATTTCATTTAAACAACTTATAAGATAGTCCATTCCATGCAATTCACTTTTAATCTTTGCAGATATGTCTTGCCTAAGAGCTGTTAAAATGAAGAGCAGTTTCATATCAAATAGCATAATGTCATCTTTATAAGGTATGTCTTTATAAGACCTCAATCTAGCAACCAGGCCTTGTGCAATAGCAGTATGGGCACAAAGTGCTCTTGATACCTCACTGTTCAATGCTAAATTACACAAGCATTTTAAAGCCTCAATAGCCTCTTCCTTTTGTGGTATTATCTCCACTGGCCTTGTCTCATCATCAATGTTCAGAAAATTAAACAAGCCGGCTTTATCAATTAATATTATTATCCACTTTTCACATACTATTGCATCTACTTCAAGTTTATCTCGGCTGAAAAGAGAATCAGAAAATATGTACAAAGTTAATTTTTTTTTACATTTATAACCTTATATAAATAATAATGAAAGTATCTACTTTAGATAGTTCTTGTACAGTACAATTTTGGCAGTCTGAATATATATAAAATCTTAAATATAATTTTGTGCACCTTAATATCCTGAGAGCAGACAAACACATTGCATGCACAGATTCCAAAGAAGGTTCCTGAATAAGTTGAAATAAAGCAGCCCATAAGGATACTCTGTTATTGTTCATTGATAAATTTGGAAATGTAAAAACATTTTCATTCTGAAAAAAAAAAGAATTGTATACTTATTGTTCCAAAATTGCAACACGAACAAATTTTTTGACTTCAACTTACATCTTTCAAGAATTTCTCTAATATTTGAAGTACACCAGATTTATCACCACTAGATAAAACTTTGATTTCTTCTTCGTTCATTTTGATTACAATCACCCTAATAAACTTCTTCCTTGATACAATCTATATTTATCAGATTGCTAAAATGTAATTACTTGGCACTCAAAACCATATGCTTTAAGTTTTCAAAGGTGAAATTACAAATTAAAGTAGTAGCATTTCTTGAGTCAAACCGAATTTTAATTTTGGGAGGACACCAAAAAACTATACTAATACACAAAATAGAAGAAATACTAATGTCAAAGTCACAACGACAAGTGACAGTGATATGCGATAAGTCAGTACAAAATAACAGTTCTTGATATCTTATAAGCATAAAATAGTTTAACAGCTATTAGTGACGCTTTTTGTAACAATTTTATTGAAGGATTCTTGTACAGATTTTCTACATGCAATGTAATTGTAGCTCGGAAATAATCTATCAAAAGTAACTTTATTAAAGTCAACGATATCAACCATCATTCTGCATAATACACAGCTAGGAACTAGAAATAAAAGTCGCCGGAAAACATATTTAAACATAACATTTTTTCTCTTAGGCTCATACATTCTAAAAACATGGAAATTTAATTAAGTTCAAATAGAATAAGGGAAATAATAATCTAAGGTCTTATAGTCGACTAGTTATTTTATTCAAAAAATGTTTGGTATAGTTGATATCCCATCACTATTTTAAGTTTAACATCTGTTTTCATATGTCAAATAATACAATATCTCCGTGCTGGATTTGCACCAAAAATTACAGGATATTGTATTGTATTTCATATAAATAAACGAAATACAGCCTGAAAATGGCTGCTGTAGCTTTATCCGGGAATTTAGCCAATAAAATAATACGTAAGTATATCTTCTTTATTTGTTGCTATAAATCGTAAAATAAGTCTTACATAATTGGTAACAAAATGTATTTTGAACTATTTAAATGACCTTAACGAGTATTATAAGCGGGCAGAGTTGTTTTCTAGCAAAACATGGTGCTTTAAGTATTATTTACATAAAGTCGGCATCGTACAGTACCGATGGTAAACCTAATATTGCTGCATACAAGCGAGGAACCGGTGGCCGCAGTAGTTTCAATGGAATCGTGGCCACTGTCTTCGGTTGCACTGGGTTCGTAGGGAGATACGTATGCAACAAACTTGGCAAGATAGGTACTCAAGTAAGTCATCATTTTTCTAACAGTACACTATACTTTTATTTCGTGATATATGATTTGCAAAAATTTATTTCGATTAGTTCCTACTGCTTATAATAATATAGTTTCTGTTTTTTCATTTTTTATAGTCGGCATAATTCTTCATTAGTTTTACTTTATTTCCAACACACATCAAACTAATAAACATTTTTTAATTAGTACAGTTTTAATATGATATTATTTAATTTTATAAAGTTATTACTAATTATTCCTTATTGCATTACAGATGATTTTACCATACAGGAGTGACTTCTACGATGCCAACCGACTCAAAGTAGCTGGAGACCTTGGTCAAGTCCTCTTTACACCCTTTGACATTCGTGATGAGGAATCGATTGCAAAAGCTGTTAAGTACTCAAATGTTGTCATCAACCTGGTGGGACGTGATTATGAAACAAAAAACTTCTCTTACACGGATGTGCACGTTGACGGGCCCAGGCGCATTGCAAGGTAGTTTTATCTATTGTTTATTATAGATTGTTAACATAAGATATAGTATTAGGTTTATGTGAATAAAAATGATTGTTATAATAAATTCAGGAATGTGTGTATACTGTTGATAACAATTAGAGATTATTGGAAAAGTGTTAAATGAGTTGATTTTTTTTTATTTTCCATATTTTAACTCTATGTCTTTGACAATTAATTTGTGTGTTACTGTGTCATAAATAATAAATTGATCTCGAAGCTGGTAAATGTATATATTTATCTGTATGTCCTTGCATATTGTTACTAAACGAATACCTACTTTTTTCAGAATATGCCGTGAAATGGGTGTGGAGAGATTCATCCATCTCTCTTACCTGAATGCTGAGAGACATCCGCAGCCATTGGTATTGAGGAAACCATCAATGTATAAAATCAGCAAGTATCTAGGTGAATGTGCAGTCAGGGAAGAATTTCCAACAGCAACAATATTTCGTGCTTCCGATATTTATGGTTCTGAAGATAGATTCATTAGGTAAAGTTTGTACTTAATGGTCCAAGCATAATGAAATGTTCAATGAAGAATACATGATGTAGTATTTTCTTAAGATGTAAATTCTTTAAAAAAATATTTGCAGATCTTTAGCAACAGGCTGGAGGTCTCACGGTAACCTTGTGCCTGTGTATAAGAATGGCATGGAGACTATAAAGCAGCCTGTTTATGTTTCTGATGTGGCTCAGGGCATTGTGAACGCTGCTCGTGATCCTGATACCCGATGCCAAGTCTACCAAGCTATTGGGTAAGCAAATTCTCAACTAGTATCTTATTAGATAACAGGCTAGCAATGCTTTTGTTATTATCATGCATAATGGTTTTATATATGTGTGGTATTCTCTTATGCCCATTACAACTTTTTACCAAATAGACCTATTGTGTTCCCATTTACTTTTTTTTCAATCCTGCAATGGTCCTGTGCTTCTTATCTGATTCTTTATCATTGTTTAAGCCTTTTGCTTGTGGATTAATTATAAAATACATTTTTTTAGGCCTAAAAGATATCTTCTGGCTGACCTCATTGACTGGTTCTACAAGTTAATGCGTAAGGACAGGGCTGGCTACAGACGCTATGACATGAAGTACGATCCGATATTCTTCTCCCTGCGTGTTGCCGCCGCAAACATGCTGTCTCCAGCTTACCCATTCGGTGGATTGCACTGGGAAGGTTTGGAAAAGGTAAATTTTTACACCACTAACTTTTAATGTGTTTAATATGCTCAGTACCCCGACGATTTTTACGTATTGCAGTGAATCTGGTAAGATGAGCCAGTGGCACTGAATAGTTTAAGTTTTTCCTATTAGTTCTATGTTATATAATGTACTATTTCAGTCTCTTGATGTAATTATTACAGGAATCAACTACTGACCGACCTGAAAAAGGTGTGCCTACTTTGGAAGACTTGGGTGTAACATTGACACCAATGGAAGATCAGGTGCCATGGGAACTGAAGCCGTTCCGTGCTTACCAATATTACTTGGACAAACTTGGGGAATTCCCTCAACCACCACCACCAAATGCCCTGTAAATGCAGTCAAAATCAATTGCCAATGGCTGTCCTAATTTTATTATCTGTTTGTAGATACATCCAATAAATTATGGTCTTATTAGTAATGTGTTTTGTTTTTATTGAACTACCAGAACAAACTTATGACCTGGTCATGTGTGAAACTAAATTACGACACCTCAGTAGTGCCCTCTGACAATGTCAAAAGTGTCAAGATCCTTCCTGTCCTGTAGCTGTCTTGTCATATTATTCTTCTTTTTTGACTTAATGTGATAGAAATGGCTCTTACTAATTTAGATACAATTGTGACATACCTTATTCAACTTAACTATGGTAGTACTGTTTGACAAGGTTCTTTTTCGTCAATAATAGCCTGCTACTAATTATAAACACAAAGCTTTGCCACAAAGATAAATTCTCTGCGGTAATCAGCAGAAAAGATAAACAAGTTTAGTTACTGATTACTTAATGTAAGAAACTTATTATTTTTTTTATTTCTTTGGTTTTTGTCTGGCTATATTCCCCTCATCCAGAAACTAATAAAAAGCATATTTTGGAATAATATTGTTTATTATCTTATTCAAGGAGCTGGCCTGCCACGTCCATAGCCTCCTCTCTGTAACAATAGAACATTATTTAAATTGCATATTAAATTATTGCTTATTTTATCTATATGGATACTAAACTTTTAAAATAATAGAATTCAATCACATTTACTTTAACTAGATTTTTCCCATGACTTCATCCATATGTAATTAAAAAAAAACTTCCATCTAGTCTTTCACATTTATAATAGTAATAGTAAGATATGAATTATTCCTAGTTCATAGATCAATTTCTAGGCACTTAAAATACTCACGAATTCCAAATCAGCAGAGCCAGGGCCAACATCAGCCTTCTTATCATGTGGAGCACCAGGTGTGGTGGGGGCGCGACGGTATGCTGACCGGTCTTCTGTGGTGCGTGTTGGTGCATCTGTCCTGCCCACTGCACCACGGCGCACTGTCTCTGTTCGCACTGACCGCTTAAGTGTTGCTGGTACAATTTCGGGTGGCAGGTGGAGGAATATTCTTAGGTACTCAATACCCTCATTGGTTAGGTACCTGTGAAAATTAAATATTAAATCGGCTCATTTGGGAAGGATAATCTTGAATTTGAGAATTCTGCTATCTTAAAAATAATACTAAAATTTTATGATCTTATCCACCCTTACAGGCATCCAACATTTAAACAAACAATTTAAAGTCAGCATCTATTCAGATATACCATAACTATGGAAACCAAATGGTTAATATAAACTGAACTACATTATATTATGCAACTCATTCACTTTTTTGTTACATGGTAGGTACCTGAAGAGATTTGTAAAAATGTTGAACATTGTTATGAAGTCAACATAAAACTATGAAAACAAACTTTTTTAAGTCGTCAAACAATTTTCTGTAATTTACTAAATAATATCAGTTATGAAAACTTGTTTACCAATATCAAATTGCTTTATGATAGTTTCCAAAAGTATAAATAACTTATGGGAAACATCTATCTTAAGAGTTTTATACAACTAAAAGCATAATAAGATTATTAGAATAAGATTAAGATTATTATACATTAAACTTACCAGTAGAAATGCCTCCACGCAAATTGTTCCTTGACATAACCTCTAGATTTGAGGGACTGCATAGCCTTTATCACTTGCAGGTTGGGAATCTTTTCTAGATCTGGATGCTTAGGAGCATGGTAGTCCTTTTTGGCTACCATGACTCCTTCCTTGAATAAGTATTCATAGATAGAAACACGGTTTTGTTTAGGCATCAACATCTTGATCGCCTACCTAAAACAATATTTTCAACACATAAATTCAAATCTTCGAGAAATAAATTAAACGCACGACATAAAGACATCAATATACAATAACTTTGTAGGAATAATTCACTTTCATTCAAAGATTCGACAAATAAAAAGAGATTTAACTTAAAAATATTACCTTCCGCTTATTTTGACAACTAAAAAGAAAAGGCAAGTTCCACAACGATTTGACGTATCATTTGTTGCCCTCGCAAAAAAGGTTTTTTTAAGCGTCAGTTTTTTTCACATTTTTTATGTGAATTCAGGTTTCTTTTTATCTCAACAATTTGTGCCATAATAAATATTGATTTTTGCAATCATAACAGTTAAATAGTCTATTTATGGACAACGTTTATTGCATTATAAAATAAAATATAACGATGGCCTAGCAACATTGCGTTGACCATAAGGTAAATTGCTCAAATATATAGGAATCAAGAACTGTAAAATTGCTTGAAAAAAACTTAAATCAGAATTACTGTCAAATCAATGTAATGTCAACAACAACGCTGTTGTTTTCTCACTTTTCGTTAATTTTGACCACCAATGCTTTAACATCGCCAGTTTTAAGCGTCGAACAAAATAATTAATTTTGTTTTTCCTTCTACTTAGAAAGTTCTTAAAAGAACCAACAATGGACTTCCAAAATAGACCCGGTGGTAAAACCGGGGGTGGTGGCGTAGCCTCTTGGTCCGAAAGCAACCGAGATCGTCGCGAAAGGCTTCGTCAACTTGCTTTAGAAACTATTGACTTAAATAAAGACCCTTACTTTATGAAAAATCATTTGGGTAAGTTATCTAACCTCCTATGTATCGTGCATCCTGATATTTTGTTACCGTTATATATAACTAAATTTCTTTTTAGGGTCATATGAATGTAAACTTTGTTTAACTCTTCATAACAATGAGGGAAGCTATTTAGCTCATACTCAGGGAAAGAAGCATCAAGCAAATTTAGCTCGAAGAGCTGCCAAGGAGGCCAAAGAAGCACCACAACAATTAGCACCCGAAAAGCCAAGAATCGAGCCTAAGAAGTTTGTAAAAATTGGTCGACCTGGTTATAGAGTAACAAAGCAAAAAGATCCTGATAGTGGTCAACAAAGCTTGCTTTTTCAAGTTGATTACCCAGGTAAGAACTAGAACAGTTTAAGTTAGATATCAATTTAAGTTTTAAAACTACAGGGTCATTAATAAACTTAAATTGTTTTAGAAATTGCTGAAGGAGTGCAACCAAGACATCGCTTTATGTCTGCTTATGAGCAGAAAATAGAGCCACCGGACCGTAGATGGCAGTACCTGCTCTTTGCCGCAGAGCCTTATGAGACTATAGCATTCAAAGTACCAAGTCGTGAAGTAGAAAAGCATGACACCAAGTTTTGGACTCACTGGAATAAGGATACAAAACAATTCTTTTTGCAGTTTGCATTTAAAATTGAACCTTTACGAATGCCTCCTGCCCCTCCCAAATTATGGGAGAATCATGGCATAAGATTACCTCCTCCACCTGGAGCTTCTCTTATGGGGGTACCTCCTCCCCCACCATTACTGCCAGTCCCACCTCCTCCACCGTCCATGTAAATATGAGCATAGAGGGGTTGATAAGTGTGTTATAATTAATAAATATTTTTTAAATGAAATGTATTGTATTTTGTTTTTCTATTCACAAAATAATATGAACAAGGTAATAAATAACAATACATATATGCATGTCCTGATTATGAACTTAACTAGTTATTAATTGAACTAGGTATTTTATGGTCTGGAAGTTTTAGACAAGGAATTTAAATGCTCCATTGTAAATTATATTAATTATATAATTATAAAAAAATGCTGCTGTTATTGTTACCTTTAATTATATGGTTTAGTTTCAATTTAAAATATTTTAAGCACATTACCAAACCTAGATTAAATTTTCAAATAATTTATGGCCAGTCCTTACAGAACATAAATAAAGCATAGTAGACCACACTCCATAAATGATCACTCATTAAAAACCTTACGTTTCAATTCCCTACTGAACCTTTCTAGATTTTTTTTCAATCAGAACTACTTTACTGTATTCTGAGCTAATTCATCCAAAATATTGCTTGATATAATATGATGCAGGTTTACAATTTTGTTTTTGCGTTTAGTTAAAACTTTATTAAAAATTGATTCATAAGAAATTTGTAACTGGATAAATTATAGAATAAACTGATTTGTGTAAAAATAAAGTGAATCAATTAAAGTTTTGTGCCTATTTAAAATTACTTGCCTCGAACGGAACGTAATTTAACGGTTTTTCGACGAAAGTTACTGGTATTTTTGTTGCGCGTTTATTTCGCGCGCGATCTTTTGTATAGTGGACACAAAAGCACAGGAACGAGCTTGAACAGAAGTGGAATCCATTAAAATAAAAAATATATTCCAAGTTTTATATTGACGAATACTGCAGAGTCGTTGTTGTTTAATTTGCTGAGGGTTTCTTTCAATATGTTTTCAAAAGCTAAAAGATTTGAACCAATTTTGCGTTTAGGTAAGTTCCACGATATTTTAATAAATATTAAGTTAATAAGTGAAGGTGTCAAAAAATATTAAACAATTGCGAATCGTCACGTCTTGATAATAATTTAATTTTTGCTAGTTACACTTGTTACTTAATGTTTGATGTTACAAATTAAATAGGTACGAACAAATTTTGGCTTCATACTACTTTTGAAAATGAAATCAGATCAAATAACGAGGAAGTTCTGTGATTTTAAAATTAGTGTGAAAGATTTGTCCTGACCATGGTGGTTCATGACTTTTGTAAAATAGACGTAATCATATGTAGTTTCAGCTGATTTTTTTAAATTGATGTCTACATACAGATTCAGTGCCTAAATATTCCTTTAAAAGTTTTGTAAAATATTTAAAAACTACTGATCTAAGCAGACAATATATTCATATAATATCTAGAATGCAGGATACATCTAATAGTGCCTATTAATATCCTATTATTACATAAAATTACTTCATTTCACTGGTATTTTAGAACGACCTGGTGGCGAATAGTATATAATGTGAAGCATATCCATATTGATAAATTGTACTTAAAATGTTACATACTAAGAACATTCTCATTACAGGTACAAATAAAACTCAGTCAAGCAATGAATCTAGTCAGAAAACGAAGGCTCCAGCTCCAAAATTGCAGCAAAAACCTTTGGCTACCCCAAGTAAAATAAACAGTGATGCGCAATCACATTGCAGTTCTGTGTCCAGTGTTAAATCATTTGTAACAGTAAGTTTATATAATATGTTAATAAAATTATAATATACTATTTCAAATCAATGTAATGAAATAAATAGCCCATGATTTTGGTTTACTTTTAACTAAAATTAATATTAATTGACAAATATAAACATGTTCATTGGAGTAACTTGCATTTCTTCATATAGAATATTCTCAATTTCCACTAGCTGTCGCCCGCGATGCCGACCGTGCAGTGTTAAAAAAAACTTTATAAGTAGCCTATGTGTTCTTCCAGACTATGTTCTACATCTGTACCGAATTTCACCAAGATCCGTTAAGCCTTTCCAGAGATACCTACAAACAAACATCCATCTAAACACTTGCATTTATTACATTTGTAAAATAGTTAGAAGTAAGATTTCCTAGGTGACAAGTCTATATTTTCCATTTCCAAAATAATGCTGCACTTTTGTTGCACTTGATTAATGATTTTATAAATTTAATTTCTTAGCCAAAACCGGTGAAGCCCTACACAGCTACTAAATCAAAAGTAACAAGTTCATTAAAAAAGTCTAATTGCAATGATAATAAGAAAAATATTAGCAAAAAACCAGCCACAAATGTACCAGAAGACCTTGTTAAGGAACAAGAAGTTGAAATCAGGTATTCTTAATACTTTATTATTTATTCTTCTATTTTTTTATTTCATATTTTTGTATGAATTAATTAACAATATATATGAATTGTTTTAGAAATAAAGATCAAACAATAACAGAATATAATAGACAAATTGAAGATTTAAAAAATGAAATTGCAGCTTTACAAAGAAAATTGGGCGAATCAATTTTATCAGCAGAAACTAATACAGATATTGATAATTTAGACAAAAAACTATGTCAAATAAATTTATGTGATGCAGATGTCCAGGAAAATGAAATGACAGTTAAGAACTCAGAAACTTCTGCAAATATTAAAAATTATGAGGAAGAAATAAGAAAATTAGAAGCACAATGTGATAAATTAGAAAAAGAAGTAAGCAGTAAACAAGTAGAACTAACAGCACTAGAAGAAGTTATAGTTATTAGAGATAGTTTGTGTCAAGATTTACAGAACAAATTAACTGATATGAATATTTGCCTCGAAGAAACTAAACAAAGATTAGAAATGGTAAAAGGGCACCATGCGTTAGCCTTAGAGGCCAATGAGAGTATAAGACGGGAATACAAGGCGGAATTAGAAAGTTTAAAGACCAAAATGGATGAAGAAAAGCAAGCTATCCTTAGTAAAAGCAAAACAGAGCAAGAAAATATTAAATCTCATTACAAAACTTTGATAAGTTCAATAAGGGAACAATCAATTGCTGAAAAAGATGCAGAGATTGCAGTTTTACAAGATAAGTTGGTTACAAAAGAGAGAGAAATGAAAGCAAAGTTAGATCAAGTACAAGAAGCTGCGGATGAAAAATTAAAATTATGTGAAATACAGTTTGAAGAGCGCAGTAGGAGCATTCAGGAACATTGTTCACTGAATGAGCAACAAATACGAAATTTGGAAAGTGAAATAAAGGATCTTAAATATAAGTTAATCATTAGTGAAGATCACAAAAGTAAGGCTCACAATCAAATACTTTACTTGGAGAAGGAAAATTCAAATTTGAAAATAGAAAAATCAAAGCTTGCCCAGGAGTTAGTGCAACTAAAAGAAGAATCTAAAAAAAATGTAATCGATTATGAAAATAAAATCAACAAATTGACTTTGGAGGTTGAGAGAGCGATAAAAGACAAGAACAAGTTTGAAATGTCCCTTTCTGTTACTAGAGACATTGTACAAGTTTTGACAATGCGTCTGAGGGAGTCCGATACAGAGTTAGAACAATTGGAAGGCAAAATACAATCATTAACTAACTCAAAAGAGGCAGTGGAAACTGAACTAACAACATGCAAAAAAACTTTAGATAATACATTATTAGAATGCAATGAGTACAAAGAGGCATTGGTTAATATTCTTAAAT